AAAAAAAAAATAGAAAAATATTATAAATATACCAAAATCATATATATGATGAAAAACCCTTTTTTGAAAAGATTTTAATAAATTTGTGTTGATAAATTGTGAGTCTTGTTCATGCAATCATATGACATTCTTGAGGGGTTTCTTGATTTTTTTTTATTTTTTTTTTAATTTTTTATTTTATGAAAGAAAGTACTCTGCAACTCCTCTGTTTTTGTGAATTTGATTTTTTTTTATTTTTATTTAATTTTTTTTTGTTAATAAATTGGATAGAAATGGCACCCGGATCGGTTTTCTGCTAGCGGGGATCCGAACTATTTGGAAGAGGCCAAGAAGAAATTTCAGGCTATACAGCAAGCCTATTCTGGTAATTTTACACCATTTTCACATTCTTCATACATGTATAAAAAAAAAGGATATTTGTTCAAAAGTTTCAGTCTCTTACCATCATTTGTCTTCATATTAGAATTTGTATTTACGGTGTTATTCGAATCGAGTCGAGCCGAACACTTTGGAGGAGATGTTTGGGTTCGTGCTCGTTTAATAAACGGGCGGACTTGTTTAACAAGTCTAGAGTCATAATAAATGAATTGTTCACAAACACGATTTGTGTATTTGAGAATACGTTCCGTTTGGATGTTTGTTTCGAAACCTATAAAATATAAATAAACGAAATGTTCGCATACAAGTTCAGCTCGGCCCAATTAATTGCTTGAGTTCGACTTGTTTAAGCAGATAAACGAGCCGAACTTAAACTTTTACGAAAATCGAATCGATTTTATTTGTAATAGAAGTCATTTCTTTCTTGCATTTATAGGGCTCAAGTCACAATTATTATTATTTTTGCTTCACTTATTATTTCAGTTCTTTCAAATGCGGACAAAAGGTTTCTTTATGACGTCGGAGTTTATGATATCAACGATGATGATGACGAAGATGTAAGTTGGCCCATTTTGAATATACAATCAACACGACAATAAATAAATAAATAAATAAATGACCCCTTTAATTAGCAATTACTTGAACTCAATTACAACTTGTGTCACTTTGTTTTTTTGGCCCTATAAGTTGTTTGTTATTACCTTCAGAGCATTTAATTGTTTAGGGCTTGATTGTTTATGAAATAATTTGTTCAAAATGAGTTATTTTGGTTAACCATAATTAAATTTGAAAAAGTAGTATAGTTAGGTGTTAGTGGAATTTTAAAAATATATTAAAATAATATTTAAAATAAAATGTTTAAAATTGATTTGATGTAAAAGTAAGAGATAAATGATTGGAAATGATAGGTAGTTAAAAATATGTGAGTGGATGAATAGTGAATTAAAGTTGATGTGATGTGTAAGAATGATTGATTTGTATTATTTAATTATATAAATAATATTAAAGATAGTGGGGTTGAGTTAAATTTTGAATTGAAATAAAAGTGAGTAAATTAATCCATAAACAATCAAGCCCTTAACTTTTGGTCTTTAATGTGAAGTATATAATGGAAATAGAATTAATAAAGTGTGAGCGACAGCGTAGTCCCAAATGTGTCCTATTCGAAAGGAAATATCATATACCAATTAATTAATTAATTAATTAATTAATTAATGTAGATCTTATGCAATTATACATATACAAATAAAATATTATATATTATACGTATATATATGTATATTCAAAGTTAGAAGTTAAAATATAATTATATCACAGATTAAAGTTTTGACAATTAGTACAAATGAACAATATAAATTGTATACATATCTGTTAAAAGAAATACGCATATCTATTATAAAAGTATAATTGTTTGACCGTGAAGTGTAATCTTACCGTAGCTTTTGCTTTGGCTAATACAATGCAGGGTATGGGTGAGTTTCTGAATGAGATGGCAACGCTAATGACTCAAGATGAACCCATGGTGAGTGTTTGTGTTTCTTTTCAAATGGTTCTAGTGAGTACCTTATTATGACGCTGAGTCGAGGTTAAAGATGTCGTGTCGTGTTTTAAATATGTGTCAATTTATTTATTTTTTAGGGAAATGGAAACGAGACTTTTGAAGAACTTCAACAATTGTTCGATGAATTGTTCCAAGGAGATGATGACGCCTTTAGCTACTCATCTCGTTCGGGCACACCTCCGACAAGCTCTTCTTCTTCTTCTTCTTCATCGTCCTCGTTTTTTGAAGGGTCTTATAACAATCTTATCAGAATGAGCTCAACCGAGTCGAGCTCAGCCAGTTTCGGGTATGAGAACGGGAATTTCGAAGGGTTTTGTGTTGGGATGAGTGGCAAAGGCAAAGGCGGTGAAAGTAGCCGGAAAAAGTGTGTGAGGAAAGGCCGGAGGTGATACCATTGGAGGTCGATATCAAATTCCGGCAACCACAATTGGAGATTTGAGTTTAGAATTGAATTTTGATGGGCTAATTTGATTTTTCAATTGTGGTTCCCCTTGTTTTGCTTATTATTCTCTTTTATAGTTCTCATGTATTTAGTAACGAGTTGGCCCACTAAATAAAAGGTTGCAAAATTCGGCCTACAAGTGAGCGTTGGCCCCATTTTCATTTTCACCTCCAGCTTGTCTATATTTATTGTATTTGCAACCCTTTCCAGTTTCCACTAGTGCAACTTGTGATTGTACCTTGCATGTTTTAAAGTTCAAAAATTTCCCAAGTTCAAATCCCTCCCTATATATTAATTCAAAATGTGTTGAATATAAATGGTTTACATTCACACTCTTCAGATAAAGACATGACGAAAATTTATGCTTGGTAATGTTGTTTGTAAATTTATTTTTGCTCCGAATTGGCTTGGTATTAGACATAAATAAACATTTTTTCAAACTAGGTAAGTGTACATTTAATTTTATTATTATTTTTCTCTTAGCATGCATTTCCTTCTTAGTTTGAACAAGTAGCAAACTTACAATCTTATAATTTTCTTTCATATTTATCTCCAAAATTATGATTCACAAATCACTTTCTGCATTGTAATGTATATTCTTTCTTTTTTTCATTAATTAGTCCATCAAATATTTTAAATAAAATTTTTATTTTAACAATAACTTTTATAATATTTTTTTTTTTTGGTACATAGACGGGCCGAGGACCGAAAGCTACTATACTAGAATGCAACGTGGGTAGGTTACCCCACAGACGTCGTGGTCGAGCCAATGGTCCAGCACTTGTGGGGGTGTCGAGATCCTATGCAATCCTAGCGGGGAGTCGGCCGCTAATTTCGCCATTTGGTCAGCTGCGAAGTTGGCTTCCCGGTGTACATGAAGAATCCGAAGGTTTCAGTTCCTGCTTATCAGGTCCCGAATGGCTCGAACTAGAGATTCATTGGTACCAAGCTCTTCATGGGACCCTAAGATCATGTTCAACACGCTTTGGTTATCGACTTCAGCGACCACTTTCCGGAACCCTAGATCCCAGACTAACATTAGCCCTTGAAACAAACCCCATAGTTCGGCCCCGGTGATTGTGCCTATTCCAATATTCATGAGAAATCCTTCGACCCATTCACCACGATCATTCCGTATCAACCCACCCGCACAGCAGTCCTTTGGTACGATTGAACGTCCCGTCCCTGTTCACTTTGACCCACCCCGGATCCGGCGGTTTCCACTGAATCTTGCAGAATGAATAGAAGGCAGCACCTGCCCGTGTATAGGCCTCAGTAGCCTGGACATAAGAATTTGCTCGACGCAGAACTTCCATAACTCGGGCCTCAACATCATTTAGTCGGTTTTCAAATGTCCGTTCGTTGCGCCATTTCCAGGCGCTCCAAATACCCACCGCAAATCTGCTACTCCAGTTAATAACTGCTCCTCGCTGCGCTCCACTTAGGTTATGTCTCAGCCACGGCCGAAGCTGTTGTTGGAAAAATCTGCGTGCGCTCCCAGGCGGCAAGAGTCGATGCCAAGTCTGCTTTATGATGGGGCAATCTCGTAGGACGTGTAATGTAGTTTCAGTATCACCACAAGCCTCACATTCTGCCGAGGCAGCGAGATGGCGCCGTGATGACAGATAGATCGTGTT